AGTCTTGCTGTTTTAAGCAGTTTGGTCACTTGCAAAGGTCTCTCTTTCAGATCTAAGCAAATTATAAAAACCTCTCTAGGCATGTGGCTATCTTCAACTTTCCCCAAGCCCCATCCACAACAATACAGAGGAAACTAAGTGTTAATCCCAGCTGGCTGTCCACCCCCAGGCCACCCAACCTCTCCCTGGCCACTCTTTCTCTATTGAAACTTGAGCAAAATCTCAAATAATTTCCAACTTATGTGATCAGCAAGTGAGGAGTAAGTAGCCTTTGGCTTTCCTATTTATCACATCTAATGCTAGAAAATGATTGAAATAAAGGAGTTGATGGTACTCACAGCGAATGCAGCCCAAGAGTCATAAGACATGCCCACCAACCAGCCTTTTCCAAATAGCACTATCCCCCAATTTAAACAGCCTTCTCTGAAAAGATGCAAGCTGAAAAGCCTAGGGTATTGATATGACTATGACCTCCCTTGCATTCTGGATATTTGGAACTATTTAAATCCAAGGGAACAGTTGCAGGGAACCTTTATTTAGTGAATAAAAGTTTAAAGCCAAAGGTTATTTATGGTTCTGCAGGGAAGGGACCTGAGTGGCTATTTACAAGCACGTGATTCCAATAAACTTTGTTTTATGGCTTGAGAGTTGACAAGCCAAAATATAATTCCCACCATAAATTAGGTTAAGAGCGTACAAGTGCAGATGCTTCGTTCCTGGAGCAGCGATAGGAAAGTGAGAGGCTCCAGCCAGTGCCGTGCTCAGAAGAAGACAGCCCTACTTGCAGCTACCCTACCCACGGGAAAGGAAAAAGAGTAAGTCACTTAGCACCTTTTCCACAATAATTGGGGTGGAGGGGGTGTTCTGAGCCTGGCCTTCTCTGCCTGAGGAAAAAGCCTATCAAAAAGTTATTTCTAATTTTACCCTAAATCTACTTTAATAAATAGAATGGGGATCTTGGATTCCTCCCTCCCGCTTTGTATACCTGGGAAGTTAGAAATTGGGGGAACTTCGAGCCCAAAAGCAGGACCTACACTCTTCATGCTGTAGTGAACTGCTTCAAAAGTAGAATAAAACAATCATAGTTAGGGGTGCGGAGAGGGAGGGGATAAGTGTGGAGAGAGAGAGAGAGAGAGAGAGAGAGAGAGAGAGAGAGAGCGAGCTCTGTGATATCTCAGAGCTCATTGCTTGCTGTTCCCAGAGGAATAAAAACTTGAAGATGAGCATCAGGGCCTGGGGGGAACCACGGTCCTGGGGATGGCTTTGTGGGTCCTCCTGTATCAAAGTTAGAGAATTAGTATAAACTAGAACTAGATCAGAGGCCAGACCATTCCTTTGAGGTCTAGATCAGTTACCTTTATAACCACACCGATTTTCCTTTCTAGCTGTCCTCTGGGTCCTTCTCCTCATTTCCCCTCGGAAGGAAATGACTCTGGCTGGAAGGGAGGCATGGAAAAGCATACCCCAGCCACGCCTGCTCCTTCTGTGATGAAGGCTTGTAGGCTGGGATGGGAATTGCTGTTTGGGATTGAGGAATTCAAAACCAACTTGAAACTGAAGAAGAAAGAAAGAAAGAAAGAAAGAAAGAAAGAAAGAAAGGAAGGAAGGAAGGAAGGAAGGAAGAAAGAAAGAAAGAAAGAAAGAAAGAAAGAAAGAAAGAAAGAGGACTGAACTGGTCCCAGAGGGAGCAGACATGGAATTGGGGTCGGGACAGCTAGAATATCTGCTGCCTTCCCACTGGACCCGGGCATCACCAGCCTGCAGCAGGAAGAGATGCACCAAGGCCCATTTTCTCCGACTTCCTATTTCCCAGCTGGGGAAACCTTGCCCCCAGCGCTCTGAGTCAGGCCATATAACCATTAGGGTTTTGCCCAAGGGTACATAAAGTGGGGGAGGTGACCAGGGCAGACTCTTATACTCCCAGGGTCTGCCTTTGAGGATGCCATCCGTCTGCGGAGAATTTTGAGCAGCTCCTGAAGGTGGCCACCCAAAGCAAGGAGTTCTAGGTATTAGTGAAATGTCTGGGCCTTGTCACTTTTCTGCATGTCATCTACTTCTGCGTTATTATCCGGTGGAATTTGAGTGACCCCGTTTTCATTGCAACAGGTTCCGGAGCACAAGGGGGAACCAGGGAGAGCCACTGTAAGTACCTTCCCTTTTTTTCCCTGAGTAACGAAAGGGTAATGCTAAAGGTGGTGGTCGTGGTCTAAGGTCCGCCCCAGCAGGGATGGGAGGGTGGCAGAGCTGTGCTGCCCCCACCTCCAGGCAGAATGACCTGGAGAGCTCTTGTGGGGGGAAGGGAACGCTCCAGGTTGAGTCTTTAGGAAACACTTCTGGGGCCTAGTTCACAGTCACCTGCCCAAGTAAACGCACCGCGGGAGCCTGTCCTGGTCTTCTTGGACCTCCTTGGACCTTCTTGGACCTTCCAGGCCTTCCCGGGGCTTTGAAGGCTTGCACAGGTGCAGCGGTCTTGCAGCTAATTAGTAGTCTACCCTCTCAAGAAAGTGCTGGGAGCATCCTCCTCAGCTGCTGAAATTGACACTGTAAACACCAGGCACCGGGTTCCCTCCTGCCGTCCAACCTAAATTAAGCCTGCCCAGTCTAACTCAGCTTTTTCTTGCTGTATATGTAATGTATATGTTTACATTTTTAAAATCGATGTATTGCAAACAGAAACAAACGTGTAACCCTTGATGACCTTGGGTGTGTTGAGTTGCTGCTTGGGTGGGGGGGAGCTGCCTGGTCCGAGCTTAGGTCGGCATTCCTCTCCTGTCTCTTTCGGGTCTCAGCTCCAGCGGCGGCGTGGGTTCGAGGTTTGGGGTAGCTGCTGAACAAGAAGACTACTTGCTTTCTCTTTCACCTCTGCTTCTCCTTAGCTGCAGTTGAAGAATTTCTGCTCCAGAGTCCGGTGGAATTGGGTGGGGTCAGGAGCAGGGACTCCAGCTCTTTGGCTCTGAAGTTTGAATCTGGGAATGCTGGGACACCTTCAGGAGAACCTTCTCATTAGGACGGTGGTAACAGAAGGGAGGCAAGGAAATAGCAGTGGCTTGTCGCTCCCTGCAAACCCCAAGTGGTTTTATCTTATTGGAAGTGTGGATTGGCAAGGGCCACAGGGACCAGACATCCTCCCTTTCCTATGAGACGTCTTCCCTTCAGGGTCAGAGAAGCTGGGACTGGGCTCAGGGCCAGATTGCTTTGCTGGGTCCCTGGTGAGGCTGAGATTCCCCCAGCCTGTAGTCTCCTCCATGAAACAGGCCTGCACACAGTGGACCTGGCTCTAGGCTCCATGATAAAAATCTGGGATCTCCAGACTTCCCTTGGTCACCCCTTCCCTTCCTGACACCCTTGGCTGTGGGTGCTTATCTCTACTGTGGCTGCTTGCTTGCCAACCCGAATCTGGCGCCTTGTAGCTGCGCAGAGCACAAAAAAACGCCGGAGAGATCAAAAGCATTTGTATGGGCAGTTGAGTGGGAGGTGAATATTTAACGCTTTTGTTCATCAATAACTTGTTGGCTTTGACCTGTCTGAACAAGTCAAGCAATAAGGTGAAATGCAGGTCACAATGTCTAACAAATATGAAAATGTGTATACTCATCTTGGTCCCAACTCAACCCATCAGGCTTCCCCAATTTGTCTGGATAAAGCTTAGGTAGGCCCAGGATCCCCAGGAAAGCCATGGGTGAAAGGGCTTGACATCTGCGGAAACTGGGGTGTGGATGTCTTTAAACAGATAGGTCCTAGTCCTTTTTAGAATTGGCACCCAGGAAACCCCTTCAAAACAGTCAAAACGGTGCAAGTGAAAGAAGGGGTGGGGGCTTGAGGAAGAGCGAATTGCAGAGTAAAAGTGAGCACCCAATTTTGCCAGCTTTGGTGAAGGGAGTCCCCCTGCCCCATCCCATCAAACTAAGGCCAGGCTTGAGAGTGATTTTTGAATTACTGGGGAAGGAATCAAAACAATATCTAGAAATGTGAACATCTCCAGCCTACTATCAGGCATCCAAAAAACTCGGCTCAAACCAGGGCATCCCTCTGCCCCTGAAATCAGCCCAGCCCCAGAGTGCATCTGGGCTCTTGATACCCTGAATTGAGGGGCAAGCCCAAGACAGCGGAGGCGCTGGGGCGGCGAAATTCGTGAACTTTTGTACTCTTCTGTGCTGCTGTCGGCAAAGCAAAAATAATGAAACTTTGTGATATGTTTGTAAATGATTTCGAATGACCCCTCGCCCTGCCCTTCACCATTAGCGCGACGGTCTCAGCTCAGGGCGACTCGGTGGCCGCAAACAGTGCCTGCCTCGGGGTCTGCAGCAGCAGCAACAGCAGCAGCAGCAGCAGCAGCAGCAGCAGCAGCAGCAGCAGCAGCA